GGGGGGGGGCGCTGGGAGGCTCTTTATGCAGCTTTCACGCTGTGTATTCAGCTACCCCTACACTTGTGCTGGGCATGAGCCCGGTCCCTGGCCATGAAGAGGCCTTTGAAGACCATCCCTGGGAACCCAGAGGTGGGAAGACTGACCACCTTGAGAAGGGTGGTGGGGGTCACCAGAGTGAGGCTACCCCGTTTGATAGCAACACTGCCATTGCTAAGTGAGACACAGGTCCCCCATGCTCCGCAGGCCTCCAGGAGTGACCTGGCTGGCCTCGAATGAGCAGCTTCTTCGGCCCTGGGAAGGGAGCCACACAAGAGTAGGTGAGGGCTGGTGGGTGGGTGGCACTTAGGCTTTGGGGCAAGGAAAGAACTGGTGTCAGTTACCTTCACCGTCCACTAGGGGTCTCCCTTTGGGAGCCCTGCTGTTGAAACCTCCCAATTCATCCATCAGTCCAGCCATCCAGCCATCCCGAGCCTACACAGATACGTAACATGGAACCTGGTCCCACCTCTGCTGTTGTGTCCTCAGGAAGGGCCTTGCTTCCCCGGGCCTGTTCCTGGAGCAGCAGGCTCCCAGGCTAAGGGGCAGGCTCGGCAACCTTGAAGCTGAAATGCCATCCTGCAGGTGACCTTGGACACATGACCCAGCCTCGCTGCCTCGTGGAGAGGGGCAGGTGCCATGGTGGAAGCTCCCGCCTGGTGCTCACAGGGGCTGATGGCCATACTCCAGGGGCCCTGCAGCCCCCAGGTGTGCTGGGAGGGCGGAGGGCAGAGCTGGAAGACAAAGTTCCAGTGGGCAAAGCCCTCAGCACGTTTCTGCCTTTGCCTGAGCAGCTCAGCACATCACCGTCTGCGTGTGATGCTGTGGCGGTTCCGTGTGGCTGTGACGCTGGAAGCGATGCCATCAGTAGTTCAAACGCCAGCCTGGACCAGGAGTCTAGGGAGGAATCGCCAGAGATCTACTTAGGGAAATTGGCCAACAAAACCCATGTGGGATCCGGTATAAGACATCATCAGAACAAA